TTCCAAAACGATTACGATGAATTTCTTGCTTTTATATTTGTTTTACACTTTTCTACACGTTACGCAGATCGATTAGGTGAGTCATATTTAACTTTTATTTTCATTGCTTAGTCGTTTCTTGATTTTAGTGAACATTGTATTAGCTTCATGGAAATATCGAGAACAGTTTATGTCTCGTGCAATGGTTATTGCGATCCAAAAATCGAGTTGTTCGATATCTATTTTGTCGATTCTACGGGTGAGCATCGGATTTAGTTATTGAAAATATTTCAGAGAGATTGAGAACGATTCATTCTTTTAGAGTCTATTTTTCTTTTTTTCATGAATTGTGCATAGTCGTGAATTTTGTTTTCATATTGGGCGTTTTTTTCTTTAGTTTGTACTGCAGTCCCTTGATCAACAACTGTCCAAAACAATTCTAATGAATTAATTTTTATTGTGATTATTTCACATTTTTCTACACGCGATCTAGACCGATTAGGTGAGTAATGTTTAACTTTGATTTTCAATGCTTTGTCATTTCCTTCTTTTCCTAAACATTAACTTCAAGGGAATATCGAGAATAGTTTGTGTCCTGAATTTGTTATCGCGATCTTTCAATGGAATTGTTTAATAGGGAGGTTTTGATTTTATGAGAGAGCATTCGATTTAATGAGTAAAAATATTTCATAGAGATTCCCAACAATTGGTTGCTTTCCACTCGGTTTGCTTTGTACATGAATTAATCAATGCCGCGAATCTTTTTTTCATATCGATCCTTTTTTCTCTAGTCTATGGTGCCGTGGCTTGCTCAACAGCTATCGAAAACGATTCTGGTGTATTTATTACTTTGGTAATTGTGCGATGTTTTCCTATAAGTCATCTAGATGGATTAGGTTAGTCATGTTTTACTTTTATTATCAATGCTCAGTCATTTGTTTCATTTAGTGAGCATTAGCGTCAAGCAAATATTCTGAACTTTTTAATTAATCGTTGCGATCCATCAATTCAAGTATTGTATATGTTTTTTTCGATTTCGTGTTGCAGCACCCAATTTAGTTTATAAAAACATTTCATAGTTGCTTAGCGCAATTTGTTTCTTTACACTGCATTTTAGTATTGCATGAATGATGCGACATGGTAGATTGTTTTGTTTTGTTTTCTTCCTTTCATTCTTCGATATGTGATGAAGTTTAATTGTCAACAGTATTCCTAAATAATTCTCATGAAGTTATGGCACTTGTAATAGTTTTACATTTTGCTATAAGTGATATAGATCGATACGGTTAGTCATATTTTTCTTTTATTATTAATGATGAGTCATTTCTTTCATTTAGTAAAGATTAGCTATAACGAAATATCGTGAGAAGCTTGTATCTATTCAAACAATTACTGTGACCTGTCCATCGAGTCAATCCATGTTTTTTTAATTGTATGGGCGAGTATCCAATTTAGCTACTGAAAACATTTCATAGATTTCGAGAAAAATTCGTTTGTTTGCACTATGTTTCGCGGTTGCTTGAATTATGCGATGTCGTCAATCTTTTTTCTATTCATCGTTTCTTTGTTTAGTGTGTAATGCAGTTTATTGACCAACTACTATCCAAGACGATTCCGATGATTTATCGTTCTTGTAATTGTTTTACATTTTTCTACAAGTCTGGTAGATCGATCAGGTGAGTCGTATTTTAGTTTTAATATGAATACTCAGTCATCTTTTTCATTTAGTGAACATCAGATTCATACGCATTCTCAGCACCATTTATACGTTCCCAATTACTTATTCAGATCCAGCGATCGAGCTCTTCGATATATTTTTTTTTGATTCTACGAATAAGTATCCGACTTAATTAGTAGCAAAATTTCAGACGATGGTGAAGAATCCCATTCTTGACATTGTCTTTTCATTTTTGCATGAACCATGCAACGCTGCGAATCTTATTTTCGTATTCATCGTTTCTTTCTTTAGTATGTGGTGCAGTTTATTGGTCAACAACTGCCCAAGACGATTCTGATGAATTAATTGTTGCTTTAATTGCTTTATATTTTTCTACAAGTGATCTAGATCGATCAGGTGAGTCATAGTTTAGTTTTATTATCAATCGTTTGTGATTTCTTCCTTTTAGTAAACACTAACTTCATGTAAATATTACGAACACTTGACGTCTCGTGCATTGGTTATTGTGATCCAACAGTCGAGTTGTTCGATATCTATTTTGTCGATTCTACGGGTGAGCATCGGATTTAGTTATTGAAAATATTTCAGAGAGATTGAGAACGATTCATTCTTTTAGAGTGTATTTTTCTTTTTTTCATGAATTGTGCATAGTCGTGAATTTTGTTTCCATATTGATCGTTTCTTTCTTTTAGTGTGTGCTGCAGTCCGTTGGTCAACAAGTGTCCAAATGATTCTGATGAATTAATTGTTATTGTAATTCTTTTACATTTTTCTATAAGTTGTCTGGATTGATCGCGTAAGTCATACTTTTTTTTTATGATCATGTTTTCCCGTTTCTTTCTTTTAGTGAATATTAGCTTTATGGAAACATTGAAAACAGTTTATGTTTCGTGCATTGGTTATTCAGATGGAGCAATCGAGTTATTCGATGCCAATTTTGCTGATTTTACGAGTGAGTATCCGATTTAGTTATTGAGAATATTTTAGAGACATTGAGAAGGATTCATTTTGTAGTATGTATTTTTTTGTGCTTTTGCATGAATTGTGCATGTGTGAGAATTTTCTCTCGTATTGATCGTTTTTTTCTTTAGTCTGTGATGCCCTCCCTTCGTCGACAACTATCCAAAACGATTGCAATGACTTAATTGAGTTTGCGTTTGTTTTCAATCTGGCGATACGTTATCTAGATCGATCAGGTGAGTCATGTTTGACTTTTATTTTATTTTCTCAGCCAGTGCTTTCATTTAGTGAGCATTAACTTCGTGGACATATTGAGAACAGTTTGTGTGGCGTGTATTGGTTGTTGCAATGGATCAATCGAGTCGCTTAATGTTTTTTTTTATTGTGTTGTGAACTACCCAATTTAGTTGCGAAAAATATACGTATCAGAGATTGTGAGAAGAAATCGTTTCTTTACAACATGTGCGTTTGCATGATTTGCGCGACACCGCGAGTCCTTTTTTGTATTCATCATTTCATTTGATAGTCTGTGATGCAGTTTAATGACCATCAACTTTCGAAAATTATTGAAAACAATTGATTGGCATTGCCATTTTTTTACGTTTTCCTATAGTTTATGTAGATCGATCAAGTTTGGTCGTATTTTACTTATCTTTTGAGGTTATATCGATGTAATTAAGTTATTCTAAGTGTCTCAGAAAGACTGAATCGAAATATTCGCAGGTCCTTTTCTTTTCGATTGGGTTTAGTTATGATAAACCTTTTATGCTTTATTTGTTTATTTATCGTCTCAATGTTGAGCGATCAATATGGTTTAATCATGTTCACCGTTATGATTTTTAATATTGCGAGCAATCTCGCTTTTGAATTTCAGTAGTTTTATGTTTTGTGATTCAATTTGATTTGTACGGAGGGAGTCTGAAGATTCGTTTTTCCTGTGTTCAGTTACGGATTGAGTTTAATTGTCAACAATAGTTTTAAAATATGCACAACGTGATCTTTGTCCTTGGGATTTTCACGTTGTTGTGGAGTTAAGGGGTTCTATAATGTGATACGGTCCGCTTTTTTTCCCGTTGTTCAGTCAATACTGTACTTGTATGATTATCAATTTTTCAAAAATATTTTCAACGGTATGACTGCTAGTTTCGTCTGTTTCTAAATATTTATCTTTTACGATGAAGATGATTGTTTACTACTCGCATACATTTTCATCGCAGTTTCATGTTAACCTTTGATATTAGGAATCGAATTGCTGTGTGTTTGTTTTGCGTTCCGTTATTGTTGAGGCCGAGTTACGCGCTGCGTCGATTTTATCATCTGTCGCCAAATCTTGTTCTCTGTTAGTTTCGCGTCAATAGCGTCATTGACTTCATCACCGTCGCATTTTGACTATCGCATGGCGGGTATCTTCATCCGTGTAGTTATGCGTCGATCAGTTTTGCAATATCACGAGGA